CATTGAATAAATTATTGTTTGATTTTTACTAAATACTGTATAGAATTTATTAATAGAAGTTTAATTAAATATTTGATTTTGTTATTGACAAACTTTGTCATTATTTAATTCGGTGCACGCTTAAAGTCCAGGCCTGGCACACTAACGCGAATCCGCGTAAAGTACCCGTTAGGGAACGGCTATTTTCCGGCACACAGTAGTGTCGATAATCGTTGGAAAGTCGGAAAAATAATATAGTACTTTACAATTGTAAAAGGAAGGCAATGTCAAAAATTGCATTGAATTTATTTTTATTTTGTGGGAGTATAATTTTTACACTTCTATGCATTTGGAGCTAGAACTATTTAAAATGACTAAGACAAAACCTTTCTCACTTGTTTCTAGCCGTTTACACACTGCATACAAACGAGTATAATTTTTTTTACTGACAACAATATATATAATTATAAAAATATTGTATTTGTTATTAAAATTTGATATTCACATTTTGAACTTTTTAAAAGCATATATTTATGTAAAGAACCTTTGTGGCCTGCTGAATATATGTAAATTTCTAATTTGGCCTACTAGGAAAAAAGGTTGGACAACCCTGGTTTAGCCCAATAACCCCCATTAAAAAAACCTAACTATGAATGTTATTAATACAGCACAAACAGTTGAAAATTATTATATTTTTATATCTCAGTAAACTGATTTTTATTTTTTAATTGATTAATTGATCCATAATTTTTTATGCCATTCAGATTACAGTAAGATCCCACTTAACACGGGAGATGCATTCCTAGACAACAAAGTGCTAAGTGAAACAGTGTTAAACGAGGTCATTTTAACATAGAGTAAATAGGGATAAGGGAACATGCAACCAAAAATAAACAAATTTTACTTTAAGTTATTTTTATATTAATTTGTATAATAATATATGTTAAATAACACATAAAGATATGCACACAGAAATGTAAAGTTCATTTTTTGTGATGAAGGTCCTGACTTTTCTGAAATTCTTGTTCTTTTGCAATAAAGTTGTGAAGTTTCATTTGTCGCTTTTTTCTTTCCTTAAGCAAATGTCAGTAGCAGAAGATTGCATCCAAAACATCTCATTTTGCTTTTGCACTCCTTTCAAAATCTGGATCATTCGCTACAATTTGATCAACGATTTCAGTTATAGTTACCAAACTTTTACTAAGGAAATCTGTAGAGAAATTTTCTGGGTTCTTTGTTTTCAGAATCTCTATTTTCCAGTTCCATGTGAATTCCTTGTTCTGCCAGTTTTTGAAGGTCGTCATTGGTAAGGCTCTCACCAGAAACCTGCTGTAACTCCTCAATATCCTGTTCGTCTATATCTCCTAGTCCTGCTATATCGATTGGGTTGAGTTTGGTCAATCTAACAATACAGCTATAGGCTCTTCTCGTTGAGAATTCTTGGATACCTTCATCCATAACTTCTTCCACACTTCATTCATGCATTTATCAGTTAATTCTTGCCAAGTGAAGTCAATATTTCCTAAGGCATCCATGATTATATGTTTTTCCAAAATTGCACCAAACAAACATAGGTTTAAAGAAAGTACACCTTTTTGAAACCTTTTGCTGATTGGTTTGTGTTCGCAAATAATTGTATTATATATGAATCAATGAAATGCCACGATAATTTAAATCAGCGTAAATTTTGAGTTTTTTTAGGTTTCGAGCAGACTATGTTATATCAAATCAGCGTTAAGCAGGGTCTTACTCTATAATAAAGAATCTGAACAAAGTAAATACTTTTTAAAAATGGCAACATTAGCTAAAAGGAGCATGATATAAAGCTTAGTATCATTTTTGTGAAGAAATGACAAATATAAAGGTAGACAACAAATGATGATACATTTTATGTTTGATAGATTTTTACCATACAGTATTTTCTCATGTTTGTTACATTTAAAAATGTTTCTAAATAAACTTATAAAATATATTTTTGTATTTTAATTATAGAACTTATTTAGTTAAAATAACCTGTTAATATAGAAGTTTTATAATATAGTTTATTCTTAAATTGTACAATTTATGTAAAATTATAAAAGACAAAAAATTTTCACTATTAATAACTAATGACAAAAAACTCCTATCTTTATACCATTAATTCTAATTAATGTAGTTTCATGAAATTTTAAAATACTGTTTAAAAATGATGATATTTTTCTGATATGTATAGCTTGCCAAAAAATATCATCCAGATACCAATAAAGATCCTCAAGCTGCAAAGAAATTTCAAGAAGTTTCAGAAGCTTATGAAGTATGTTTTAAATTTTGTATTTCAAGAATGACAAATTTAATTATAAGAAATACTAAAATATTGATTAAACTGTTACTTTCAAACTAGTAAATTGTAGTACCATCTATGATTTATTTTTTTGCTACATGTTTAGGATATAATTAAAACTTTATTAAGTAATGAAGTTTTACTATGGTATTTTTAATGAAATATATTCTATAGGTGTTAAGTGATGATGCAAGACGCAAACAATATGATCAGTGGGGAACCTCAACAGATTTTGGAGCAGGTGGACCAAATGCTGGTTTCCAAGGTTTTCAATCAACAATTGATCCTGAGGAACTTTTTAGAAAAATATTTGGTGATTTTGGTTTAAACATGGGTTTTCAAGATTTTGCAGAGTCCCAATTTGGTTTTGGGTCATCTAAAGAGGTTAATACAATTTTCTTATTTTTTAAATATTAATTAAGTCTTCATCTTGGAAAACATCAATTTAATTGATTTTATTAAATTACTTTGGATAAAAGTTATTTGCAAATTACAGAGATTTAATTGATTTGAGAAAGTGCATGTGTATTTATTGACAGTTATAAAATGTATTTTATATGTCAAGTAAAAAGTATTTTTTTGTAGCTTAAGTTACAATTTACTACATAAGCAATTTATATTCAAAGTTTGCTTTACCTGATGTTGATAAATCAGTTTTATTGTTCAATAATTAATATTTTTTTATCTTCTTCACTTTGATCTGATTTAAAAAATCTGGTTAAATTTAAAGTACAAATTTGTTTTGATCTTGGCTGAAAAATTTTATTACCAGCATCATTATTATAATATAATTCAATTCAGACTGCATATCTTAAACTAACTTCAATTATTATTTATAAATAAAACTGATTAAGACATCATATCAGTTTCAGAATGAGGTTTAAGGAAGAGGATATGAGTGAGGGAACTCTTGCTGATATGGCACGTTTAAAACTATCATGAACTGCCTGTCATTTATGGCACCTTCGAAATATCGAGGACTGTGGTCTATGTGGCAATGTTGGATTTCTACTGACTGCCGTCAATTACGTGTCAAGACTGTGGGTCTCTTATGGCTTTTAAAACATAAATAATGTCTTTTTTCAAAGACAATATTTATGTATGTTTTAAAAGAAATAGTATAATCTTCACAATGCTTATTTTCATTTTAGAAAATTATGAAGTAAAATATTTTATCTCCATGAGGTTTTAAAATCAATATATGAAAACTTAGTTTTCTGAAATAATATGTCTAACAGTTTATAAAATATAATGAAGAAAATTAACAAGTAAAAAATTATATTAATTTCAAAACTTTAATAATTTGTATTAAATTACAGTCAGTCTGTGGAAAGAATAAACTTGAGAGCAATATCATGTGTGATGTCACTTCAGTTAAACCAATCAGCACTTTTCACTTAATATGTCAGGCAATATGTGAATTTATTCTATTTTCTCTTACTAGATTGCAGAACGACTTTTCTGATAATTACATTAATATTTTATAGTATTCGTTAACTGAAAAAAAATCTTGTATTTAACTACTACTATAGTGAACTTCCTATTATTCTCATACCATAACATGAAACTTACATAATACTGTTTATAATGGCAGTGACATGTTTAACAAATGAGGAAGAAACCAGAAGTAACTAGGCAATCAATGGCTGATGCTTATTAGTTAATACTGAAGTTGATTCTTTTCATAGATGGACTATAGATATTTTTAAAAATTTTATCTTTGTCGAAACTTTACAAAAGATATTTATTTTTTGAAAGTTTTTTCACATTGTTTTATTTTAAACATGGGATTTAGAGAAAAATTATAGAATTAGAATTATCTTGATTTTTCTATTTATAAATATTATAAATTTGGAATATGAATCTGTAATAAGAAATATTTTGATATAAATCGTTTCAAATTTTTATGTTGAAAATGCAGTTGCCAAATATTTTGATTCTAAACCAAAAACTTTTTATGAAAGCAGAATTAAAAAGTTACTTTCAAGATGGCAAGATGTAGTGAAAAGTGATGGCGAGTACATTTTGGATTAAAATAAATCTTAATATTATGAATTTTGTTTTTTATTTTAACTATAAATGTGCATGAATTTCTGGACTGATTTGATATTGTGGGAAGTCAGGGTGAAGAAAAGCTTCATTTTTCACCCTTGTTTGATCTCAGATCGGATAGATTCGTCCGCAAGATCACTAGGATGGGTTTTTAATAGTATTTGATTTGAGAGACAGATAGCTCGTAAGAATTTCCTGTCAGTTTTTCCTGACGCCAGCCTAATTAGAGCGTTAGGCATGCTAATGATTAAATTTATATGCTTTTCTGAGTAGGAGGGATCATGGATCCACAATAAGATTTTGCGTGGAGTTGAGATCAATAATGAGACCATTTAAAGAAACAAAACAAAATTTAATAAGGACAAAATAAAGTAAACCTACAGATATATACAAGGAGAGAGAAGTCTAAATCCCTATTTATTCACGTGAGAGAGAGAGAGTTTACAACAACTAGACATACTACCTTGATTGAAGGTCTTGATGTCGGTCTTCTTGTTGAACGAGGTATGCTATGTTCTTGGACGAGGTTCGAGGAAGAGGATATGAATGAGGGAACTCTTGCTGATATGACACATTTGAAACTATCATAAACTGTCTCTTATTTATGGCACCTTCGAAATATCAAAGACTGTGGTCTATGTGGCAATGTTGGATTTCTATTGACTGCTATCAATTACGTGGCAAGACTGAGTCTCTTATGTCACTTTCCAAATTTCTGTGGACTGTCTCAAATGGCGGGAAATTGTCCCTTTTATCATAATTTCTGACCAATAGCATTAAGGATTTTCGTTCATAATGGGATGTTAAAGGGGGTAGATATCCAGATGGTTAGTTCAGTTTGGAGATAAGGTCTTGGGAAAGGAAGTTAATTTCTCCTTTTAACACAAAAGTGACAGCTTTATCTTCCTTTTTTGTAAATAACATGGAAAAACTGGATTTATTTCTCATGCTAATTAAGTAATAAAATTCCGATTCTCACATCATAATTCAAAATTAGTAAAACAATAATTCNTTTCGGATCCCTCCCTGGGTCCTTTCTCAAGCAACAATTCTTCTTTAAAATTCGTTAGAACGAAGACCAGTAGAACGAACTTCTAAACTGCGACATTCGAAAAACTACTTCTTCAGAACCACATTTCAAAAGTCAAAATTCAAAAAATTTATGTGAATCACGTGCATTCCAGTATTCCGTAAACAAATTCATAATGTAATGATCGGTTTTCTTAAAAAGGTTTTTATGGATTTTTACATTAACGAAAAAATAAATAAAAAATAAACGAGCATATCAGCGGGTACGATGTTTTAATACCCTATTTACTATACGTATTTATTCATGTGAATCCTCCTTCTGGAGAAGGGCCTGCCATGCTAGGGACAGGGTAATTTCATCC